GAGGAAACTGCAAGATACTGCGAGACGGCCCATTTAAAGCCCTGTAAATCAGGTTTGGCTGGCCATTTAATTAACTTGCAAATTAATGCACCATGCTGTGTAAATTGTATGGAGATAAATATTCATGTAGTTAACTAAGAAAAGGGCAAGGACATTTTGCAGACGCTACCAGATTGGGGTTTGGGAAGCAACGTGCCCAATAAACACCTCAGTGGTAAGACAGCTACTTTCAATTTCTCATGCATCAATGGGTTATGCAAAAAATTGAAAAAAAAAAAAAAGTCACTCTCACTGCTCCCTGCTCACTCTTCTCACCACCCCCACTCCATTGCTGTTGATGCTGCCCATGTCCGGGTCACTTCTCTCAGAGAAAGTCTAATGAGAGACGTAGGCAGAAGGTAACGCTACAAAACACAAACAGCCTGCTATTTTTGCCTGCTATCAAAGTGTGTAAAAGTTTAAATCGGAGCCTGTCATGTATCAGAAGACAGATATAGATAGTTGAGGCGCTCCGCCCCTCTTCATCTATTTATATCAATGTCCCGATCAGAACAGCTTTAAATAAGGCCCAGATAAAACACAAATGAATCGCTTCCTKTGTAGAAATGCATGTGATGAACAAATTAAACAGGTTTGCTTTTTTGATTTGATCCTCTGTCCTGATGGCTCGACCTATGCCMAGGACAGGGAGGTTATTGCTGAGCAAGCACTGTGAGATTTGAGGGGGGTTATATGGGGTCCTTTATGTCTTTATAATATAACTGTTCAAAACTAYATATGACTTTTTATTGACTAATAACTCACTTAAAATCAAAGCAAAAAATACGAAATAATGACCCTGTTAGTTAGCATTCAGGGCTGAGGTTGTTGGTTCCCTGTTTACACTCTTTGACCTGCATTCAGAGGAGCCAGGACACTGTGTACAGCTCGCTTCCGTCAGTGAAACAGCCCCATCCTTGTGCTGAGCAGCATCTCACCCCRCAGGAAGTCAAACTGACAGACTGCTGCCTCTCAGAGGCTCAACGCATCACCAACACACACACAGAGCTGGATCCCTTGCATTTTCATCATTACGCACGCCGCCAGCCAGTGACGCGTTGGTATAAGAAGATTTTGATATCTTTTTTTTTTGACGTCATTGCGGTTTTATTTGACCATATATGGRTTTATTCTGATGCGTAAATCCATACATTTAAGATAGGGTTGAAAACGCCTGTCCTATATCACAGCTTGAAGACAAATTTAGATATGAAACAGTCCGGAAACAGTTGGAAAACACGGCGCAGCAGGGCGACCACGTTACGCAATGAAACGCACGGATCATCCAAAGCTCCTGCACTAGTTTGTCACGAAGAAAGAAGCGCAATAAATAAATAAATAAATAAATAAATAAAGCGTGCTAGAATAAACAGTTTTACCTTGGATGTATACCCTGGCGCTGTGGCGCAGATCCTCTCTGACGTTTGTTTATTAGCTGGAACTCATATTATAATCAAGGAGCTGAAATAAACGCAATTATAAAGTAGCGCTACAAATTTGAACCATATTTCCCATTTTACGCGATTATTTGCTTATAATGCCCATGTAATCCTTCCAAACCYAAATGACGCACAAATGAATGCTTTATATGACAAGGACAACTTATTGGATTGGCTATTTTGGGGGGTAATACCATGTTAAAATGTGTGCATGAAAAAAAAAAAAGAAGCCAAACGATGGATCATGAGACCAGAGGAGCTATAAATAAAGCTGACTGACTACGCTTAAATGAGTCGGAAGAGGGCAGAGTGATAGTAGGAGGGCTGTTTCTTTCACTCCAGCATTCATACGGTTTCAACCAATAAGCCCAATGAGCTCAGAGCGCACCGCCCACTGTCGGCGTGTGTGTGGTGTGTGTGTGTGTGTGTGTGTTTTCTTTCTCCTTTCCATTCCTTTTTTTTTAAAAACCAAAGCTGGATGTGTAGTTCGTCACATGTTTCCTCTCTTCAGTCTGAGCACTCAGCAGACATGTGTTATTTATTGCTCGGCAGCGAGAGAAGACGCACAGATTGGAACTGACAATAARAAAAAAAAAAAAAAAAAGAGAGGAAGAAGAAGAAGTCGTTTCATCTTCGGCGGCTCCAGGAAAGGAAGCGACTGGTCGCGACGCACGCAGGAGAATGGCGAGTCCGCCAAACACGGGCGGYCAGTCGCTGTTCGGAGCCGCTGTCGGCGTGAAGAAATGCGGATATCTGAAGAAGCAGAAACACGGACACAAGCGCTTTTTTGTTTTAAAGGAGCCCGGCGAGGGGCTCCCCGCCCGGCTGGAGTACTACGAGAGCGAGAAGAAATGGAGAAACAAATCAGCCGCGAAGAGAGTTATTTCTCTGGACAGYTGCCTCAATATCAGCAAGAGAGCGGACGCCAAACACAAGTATCTCATCGCGCTTTACACCAAGGATGAGTATTTCGCCGTGGTGGCCGAGAACGAACCGGAACAGGACAGCTGGTACCGGGCGCTGACGGATTTAATGGCAGAGGGGAAAGTCTATGACGGCTCGGCGTCCAACTCGGCGTCCTCGCTGGTTGGCTTCGACGAGGCGAGCTACGGTGTAATAACGCCGGTGGCCGCCGCCTACAAGGAGGTCTGGCAGGTAAACCTGAAGTCCAGAGGCCTCGGACAGAGCCGAAACCTGACCGGAGTCTACAGGCTGTGCCTCTCCAGCCGGACTATCAGCTTCGTCAAGCTCAACTCTGAGGTGGCCTCGGTCATTTTACAGCTGATGAACATCCGGAGGTGCGGCCACTCCGACAACTTCTTCTTCATCGAGGTGGGTCGGTCCGCCGCCACCGGCCCCGGGGAGYTGTGGATGCAGGCGGACGACTCTGTGGTGGCTCAGAATATCCACGAAACTATCTTGGAGGCCATGAAGGCGATGAAGGAGCTGTCGGAGTTCCGACCGCGCAGCAAGAGCCAGTCCTCCAGCACCAACCCCATCTCGGTGCCCACGCGGAGGCACCTGAACAACCTCCCCCCGAGCCAGACGGGGCTGCCCCGCCGCTCTCGCACAGACAGCACGGCTGCCACCTCTCCTGTGAGCAAATGTTCATCCTGTCGGATACGCACGGCCAGCGAAGGCGACGGCACCATGACGCGCCCATTGTCGGTGACAGGGAGCCCCCTTAGCCCGGGGGTCCACAGGACCCTGCTGAGCAGATCCCACACCATTACATCACGCCCCACTCTGACGTTTGAAGCCTCCACGCTCCAGCACAGTAAGTCAATGTCCATGCCTCTGTCTCATTCACCGCCTGTGGCCACCACTTGCCCGAAAAATGTTTCCTCCTGCCTGGACAGTAGTGCCCCCCGCCCTTCCAGCTGCAGCGCATCCTTCTCAGGATCCCCCAGTGATGCGGGCTTTATATCATGTGAGGAGTATGGCTCCAGCCCTGCAGATGCACGGGACCTCAGGTTACCCCTCACCCTCCGCAGCAACACTCCCGAATCTCTCAAAGCAGATACCCCACCCTCTAGGGACGGCAGTGAGCTTGATGGCTACATGGTGATGGAGCGGCAAAGCCAGAATGGGAACCGACGGTTGGCAGAGCTGGACAAGGCCTATCGAAAACGAACGTACTCTCTTACGACCCCACGCCAACAGAGGCGTCCTCCACAGGTCTCCTCAGCCTCTCTGGATGAATACACTCTAATGAGAGCCACGTACACAGGTGGAAGTCAGTCCTCTCTGAGATGCCACACTGCATCACCGAAAGTAAATGGGCTTGAAGATTACAGGGATGTTACTACCAGCTCCAACAGTCTCCATGGCGACAGTGGCTACATGCCAATGATGCCTGGAGTKGGGCCTCAGACGCCAGCATCCAAGGATGACCCCTACATGCCTATGAGCCCGATGTGTGTTTCTGCTCCAAAACAGATCATCAACCCACGTTCACACCCCTCTACTGGGTCGGCCCTACGCACAGACTCCCCTGGAAGTGTTTCTCTGGAGGACAGTGGTTATATGCCTATGTGGTGTGGAAACAAGATGTCAGTGGAAAGCACTGATGGAAAGCCCAACAACGGAGAGTACCTGTACATGTCTCCTGTTGACACCATTGTCTCTGTTACGCCCCCCGACTACATTCTCAGTCCTTCAGGAGATCCACACCTCCAGCACAGACAGCCTTATTCTTACAGCTCTCTACCAAGATCACTTAAAGGACAGCTACAGCGCAACGGATCCGCAGACACAGACCAGTACGTGGTAATGAGTTTACAGAGACAGCGGATAGAAGAGGAGTCCAATTACTGCCCAGTCTCACCTGGAGAAACTTTGTCCAGCAGCTCTCCAGGAACACCAGATACTCCGTCCTCTGTTCCATCTCCTCTCAGACTGACTCGCATCGATGGGGGCTTGGTACATCGCAACAGGGTTTGTCGACCCACCCGCCTGGCTCTGGAATCCCTCAGAACACTACCGTGTATGAATGAACATCCCCTCCCTTCAGAGCCACGCAGCCCAGGAGAGTACATCAACATAGATTTTGGTAGTGCCTCCCACATCCCACTGACATCCATGATGTCTGAAAACTCTGAGGCTGAGGGTATAAACGGGGGAACACTGTCACTGTCAGACTATGCTAACGTTGACATCAGCTCCCCAGTTCACCTTGAATCACCCCAAGTGGGGGGTTCTCCCTCAGCAGGGTTTCAAAACCACACATCAGAACTGTTGATGTGCCCTAGTCTTGCGAAAAGCCAGCAGGATGCACAAAGTGTTGAGGAGCAAAACAGAATGGAGGAACAGATGAAGGAGAGGGGGATGAAACAGCAAGGGAACTCTGTGTGTCAGCCTGCTCCAATCAAAGATGACTACGCCGAGATGACTTTTGGCCCCCCAGTACCTGTACTCTGCACCCCTGATGTGGCTCCTCTCCCTACCAGCCCTACTGCTTGTGTCAAGAGACTCAGCCTTGAGAGCAGCTTAGTGGAAATAGTTCCCCCTGTGCCATTAGACTCTTATCTCCTGGGTGGTCCTTCGTTATCGTTTGTGGATCCAAACAGGGGGGCTAAAGTTATCCGGGCTGACCCTCAGGGCCGAAGGCGTCACAGCTCGGAGACCTTCTCTTCCACCACCACTGTCACACCTGTGTGTCCGTCATTCGCTCACGACACCAAACGACACAGCTCGGCCTCGGTGGAGAATGTGTCCCGCTCTGTTCGCAGCTCGGAGGGGCCGAGCGAAGACCACATCGGCCTCATGTGCAGGGAGACGTCAGCTGGTTATCAAAATGGACTTAACTACATTGCCTTAAACTTGATGGAGGGAAACTTTGGGGGCTGCAGGTTAGGGGGGTGTGATGAACTGCTGAGGTTCAAGACAGCCTGCGGCTGCAAAGGGGGCCTGAATGGTTTCAACACCAGCCCGTATGCCAGCCTGGGATTTAAGGAGACTACTACTGCTGCTGTGAAAGGTGAGTTTTCATTGTCACACACACCCACACCCATTCATTCAGGTTTTTATTCACCAGGATGGGGAATGGTGTTTGAGTAAGATAAATATTTTCCTCTGGGTGACTTTGTATGCACAGATTGTCACTTTACATTCACTTGATTTGCTCCTTTRTGTTCCAAAGTGAATATCTATCTAAACAGAACATGCAAAAAACAGCTTCAGTTGGTTTGTCTGCTTCACTTGTTTGTACTACTAGTAGTTTAAAAGTTGACACAGCATGGTAGCTTGTTGGGTCTTTTATGAATGTATGATTGTGACTTATTTCTAGGACGAAAAAGATTCAGAGTGTTCTAAAATCTAGTGCCATGAACCCTTTCCTCAGCTGCAACTTATTCACTTTTAACGTTAATATAGTGATATGTAAACACAGGCTGCCGGAGCTGAGAGAAGTCTTCTAGTTATTAGCATTGCCATTGGGTGTGGGCTGTGATGTTTAGATAGGATTAGTCACCTACTCATCACACCCATGACTCTGAAAAATCTCAAGGCTGTGTGATGCTGCGGAAGTCTTTTATCTGTTTGAAATTGCAGAACAAGGAGTCCTGGAAGCAGCCACTGCTTCCTTCCAAGTAAAAGCTTAAAATGAAAACGCTGATAAGATGAAGCAAAGTGTGCAACATGGCGAAAACACACCCATATTCTCTGCAGCAGGCTGTGTTTTCGTTGCCCTGTGTTTCAGTATAGTTGCGCTTCATTTAGATATCCTTTACCCTGCAACTGTTTTATTTTGAAAAAAGCTTTTCACAGTTATACTCTGTTTGGCTTGACGCTTATGTGTGTGGCTGTATGTGAATGGTTCTTTCTGATCTCCCTTAGTGACGCAGTTTTGTACCACGTCAGTATTACAAAAAAGAAGAAGAAAAAAAGACTAGATCTTATTCACTGACGCACTCGTTGCTACTCTGTAGAAGCAGCTAGAACTGAATTTTTTAATTTATTTTCATAAACTCTACATGCAGTGTTTTGCAGCATTTAGAAGCTGGTATGTGTGGGTGAGCAAGCACTGAATCCTTGTGCCGAGTGGAAAGGAGAGTAGTTACCATCAAATTATTACCTTTTGCCCCATTTTGTTGAGCGTTGCATCACTGGTTTTTTAATGCATCTGTAAATGGCAGGGATTATTTACAGAGCCTGAAAAGACCCGGCAGAGGCATGTCAGAAGTTGTTGTTTGCCCGAAAAGAAAAGACATCGGATCATTATGAGTCACCAGTCAGTGTTCCTGATGGGGAAATAGTAGAGTTTAATTAGTGTTTGTGCTTTCACAACCGAGCTGTCTGTTCATCCACGTCTCAGCTGGCTCTCGTGCTGTGAGCCACAGCCAGTGTGGAGCTCGGTGCAAGTCATCGGGTTCCCCAGAAAAACAAGTGAGTCAGTTGTTTATCAATTGTCAGGTACTGGGTTTCAGGACTGGAATGCGGGCAGTGTGCAAAGGTTGCTGGGAGAGGTGAATGCTCACTTGTTTTTCTAACCTGGTGGGATGGACTTAGAGGAGTGGGTGGGAGGATTCCTTTTTTTTTTTCTCCCCACTGTGAGCAACTTCACAAACATGCCAATGAAATGTTCTTTCACAAGACTGAGGGCTGATAAACATGTTTTGTATCGGGACAATTGACTTCAGTGACAAACATGTGCACTGTACACATGCACACCGTTAGTCCTGTCCAGAATTTTCCTTTATTTTTAAGGGGGAAAAAAAACTCACACATGACCTTAAGTGGAGACATTTGTTAGAGTTTACTCTACCAAAAAGGAGGAGGAGGGTGAAAAAGAGAGAGAACAACGTTGAGGGATGCAGGACTTGTTTTGGTTTTCATATGCAACAAAATGGGCAACTGAGCTGTTGCCTGAAGAGCTAGAAAAAGTGTAGAAGAGGAATGAAGCCGAAAAAGGAAAAAAAAAAGGTAGATTATTATCTGCTCATTACGTGTCAATCATCTTTCTTTACCACAAAAATAGAGAACATTTCTGAAACAGGACGTTCTCTTGTTTACTACATGAGGACAGGTTTTACCACATTCTCTTGTAATCTCAGAGTGAACCATTGTTTGCATTCCAGCCATAGCATCACACACATTTAGGACATCACCTGTTTTTATCAGGCATCTGAAGCCACAACTGTGTGAGGGAGCAAGATAGAGCAAGATGCAGCAAATACGTATGTAAGCATTATCTACTTGTCAATAGGGTAGTTGGTTTTTTTAGTGTTTGATCTGATAAACAACAACTTTATGTTTTGAATTATAACTTTACCATAGTAAAGTTAGTAGACAATTCAACATGCTTTTTGTTAGCATCTTATTTTGAGTTTTCTTCACTCAGTATAAACTTCCACACCAATGACATGACATTGCTAGCATAAAATAGCCTCTTAGCTATACTCTGTTTACAAATGAGAAAGAAAAAAGCAATGAGGGCTAGTTTAAGTGGTCCAGCTTGTCATAAGACAATCAAATGATGCGAACAAGTCCTTTGAATGTCATAAAATAGCCAAACTGGATTTCATTAGTTAAAAAATAAATAAGATGAGCCATTGTTAGAGATGGGCATTAGGGGTGGGACTCTTTTACTGTCTCATGATTCGATTTGATTCAGATTTTTGGGTCACGATTCGATTCAAAATAGATTTTTTCATTCAAAACTCAATGTGAGCCCATTTGTCATTTTCCTAAAGTGTTTCATCTTCATTTTGCAAATTTTGCACACAGTGAAGCTCATGTCAAACTCAGACTCATTCAGTAAACAATAAAATGAGCCCAAATCTTTGCATTCAATGAAGACAGGGTCAGTTGAGTCTCTCTTTCCTCCAGTTTTGTAGTTTCCTCTTTGTATTGGTGCTTTTTGTGCATGCATACATTCCAGAACCAGCTCCACGTGACGTCAGGACGTCCCACGTGGTTACAAAATGGAGGTTGACAACCTTTGGATTATATATATATAT